ATTTCACAAATGAAATAAATGTAGCTGATTCATTTTGTGATCTCATCTTTTTCATGCGGATGATCTACTGATTAATCTTATCTTCTTTTTATTTAATTTACCTTGTTTGAGAACCTATTCTGGGAAATGATTGTCCTTTTCAAGACCAGTGGTTGTATTTTCCCACTCCTCCCTAATAACAAAAAAAAAAGAGAGAAATATTTTGGCTTTTAATTTCTTGAGAGGATTGAGTTTTTCTTCCAAAGTATACTCCTTAAGTGAATCAGTCTTTTTTTATTTTTTCCTGTTAAACAAGTATGAGAATTTAAATACCTCCACGCAATATTGAACTTTTTGATTGAGAATAATAATTTTCACTGAAATGTTTAACAAATTCTTGCTGAAGAGTTTTGGCAATAAAAACTTTTGTTGGTCAGATCAATTTTGGTAATGGCAAGATTAGTGATGAAAAAAAAATATTTTTTTGTAGCTATAGCTTGACCAATAACCAGCAAATAATATTTATTTTTTTTCCCAAATCTCTGAAGTCATCTGGTAATATTTTGCAGGCATAGGAACACCAAATAGCATAACACAAACATCAAGGAGTCCACTATTCTGAGCATGTGAAAAATAACAGCAATTGGTGTTTAGATAATATTCATAGTAATGTAAACTTGCAAAGAATGCTAAGAAGCTCTAGAAATAAGTTTATCTTACTTAACCGCAACAACATAAAAATGAAGGTGATTTGAAGTTTGTTTTACAACTTCATTTCAAGTAAACTCTACAAATACGTTTTACAAATCTAAGTTCCTCTTCCACATAAAAGCTCAACACAACAAAAGAATATTAGTCGTATTCAACCATGGATGATCCAATCATGGATCACAGTATCGTGTTGATCGGTGGTATTGGCCCATGAACAGACCGGTGTAGTCGGTATCGACGTACCATATGTCTGAATATTAGTACATCCCAATTTTCTTTTAAAAAAAGCCAAAGATGATTGGAATTCAGCAAAAAAAAATTTTAAGTATTTAATCCTAATTAATGATAACTTATTATATTTAAATAAGAATTTAGTATATATGAGGCATGAAAAAATAGGAATAACTGGTTATAAGAATGAGAAAGTGAATTTATCTTTTTAGTACCACCAATTTGACCCTAAATATCCCTAATTTAGGTCTAAATGTAAGAGAATAAACCTAGTTGAGACTAAACATAAGAGAATGACCTTAATCACGTTTAATCTTTATACAAAATGATGATAAAACATAGAAAAGAAGCTAAATGCTATCTCAAATTAGACTGAAATTCCATCATATCCTGAGTTCGAATCCTTCCTTTATTTAAATCAATATCTTGATTACCATTAATCACCGATCATGAACTTTCACAAATAAAAGTGCGAATGAGTATGAGAGTAAATGAGAGTAATACTGGGTGAAAAGGGAGACACATGAGGATTTAAAGTTCCAAAAGAGGCCTTAATGGTTAATTTGAGTATTCGGGGTTCACTTCAGCCGATTTAGATTGGTATCGATCAAATTTGGGTCAAAAGCTAGTGTCACATATCGAGGCAAAAATCTTTACATCCAGTCTCCCCCAATACCAGAAGAAATGACACGATTAAATCTACTGCTTTTCCTATTTGACCCAATGGGTAAAGTAACAAAGGACACCATTCATGTCAGTGGTACATCTGAAATAAATGACTAGAAAAGATCATGCGTGAGGAAACTGCATGTTCTCTTTGAAGGGGTTACAGATGGAATTACAAACATGGATATGGGTGGTAGCTCATGAATTTTCTCAATGATCATGCCTACCTTCTTAATCCATTTGGGATTTGCGTAAACGTGTTCTGGCTTTCAGGAATCAGGAAGCTGTCATGTTGTCTTTGGTGTTGTACGGAAACGATTTTGCATAATGAGATTTTTCAGCCATCTTCCAGCCTCACATATTTGATACTTAACTCATACTCATAATTTGGCCAGAAAGAGAAGGACCACAAGGATAATAACTTTTGTCCTGGCTGGTAGGTGATGTGGGGTCTTACCATTCAGCCAAGTTAAAATTTTATTTTTTTGGAAACTCTTATGGAACAGACTTCCTACTTCAACCTATTTTTCTAAGTTCTTACACTGTAAACCGAAGCCTTGTCCTCTGTATCGTTCCAATTTTATCGGATGTCTCCAAAGAGACCAAAGCCTTGTCCTATGTGTAATATCTATTTGTAATCTGTTTACTGATTCAGTCTCTCATATTTTCTTTGAGTGTAAGCATGCATTGGAGGTATGGGATAAGGTCCAATTCCATGTTGGGGTGGGCTTCATGTTTTTTAACAAATGGGCGGGCAAATGGGGTCATCTGCTACGTATCATTGCAAACTCTCTCTGGCACCTTTGGTTTGTTCGGAATAATGCCAACAGTGTATCAATCTGGAGGAAGATAGTTGCTGCTACCAATGACCAGTTCTGTCTATCCAGGGACTCAAAATAGAGTTCATGCGGTTAGAAAATTTGCGTGTGAGGAGGGTTACCTTCTAGATTATGATGGTTCGTTTTTTTTGTCTTCAGTTTGTGCAGGAACAGGTTATTCCATGCTGGATGGGCAACGATGGTTGATGGCTGTGAGATCTGCAAAAAGGTACGTGATATCACCTATCCAGGCCGAAGGGGCAGCGCTGCTAGCGGATCTAACACATGCTAAGAAGATGAACCTAACTAACATGTGGATACACTCGAATTGTCAGGATCTTGTAAAGATGGTCAACGGATCTATTTCTGTACCTTGGCTTATTAGGTTCATGTTTGCTGATATTAAGCTGTTGTCTGCTGAGGTCAACACCATTAGTTTTGACCATGTATGTGCTTAGGGAGGAGCTCATGGGATGTTATGACCAGAGAAAAACCCTCCAAGTTTTGTTTGGTCCTATCTTTCTTTCAAATGAGTAATCAATACAAGTTTTTTTTTTTTTTTTTTTAAACTATGCTAAGAAATGGAGTTGGGAGTTTGTGAAAGACCAAAAAGTTTATAGATCTTTTACATAATGGTCAGTCCATCTTTCAGATGTTAATGCACAGATTTTATTTACCATGTTTTGCTTGGGTTAAGGTTTTGTTATAGATTGTGTATATAGCTGCCCAAAATAACTGTATGAGCTGTCACTCATGACTTGTAAATGCAACTCTGTGAAAGGCTTGTGCTTTGCAGCATAACAATATAAATTCTTGTTGTATCTATTGACAGTATTTTTGTCATTCAGATTTGTGGTGTGTTTTTCCTCAGATTTATGTATGTGGATTATGAGGTTATATCTGCTAATAAAGTGTACCAAGTCTTTGTAGATATTTTACGTCATCATCAACTGATCCTGCTAGATCAAGTGATCGAGGAGGGAACATTTTTTTTTATTAATATTAGAAGGGTCATAATGGTCAAAAGGTGTTGGAGATGACATGATTAAGCCTCACCACTTACTTCTTAGTCATGGATTATGAGATAAAAAATAAGATTACTGGAGGAACTTATATTTTACAAGCACTTTTAAGCGTCTTTCTTTTAATGCTGACAAGAGCTTGATTCAGTGAAACAGCTGCAAATTGATTGCTAACTTTTGCCAGATTCCATTGTTTGCAGTCAGTCTATGTTCTACACAACTGTTCATCCTCTGGAAGATTCAAGTACCAACTCCTACCAAGAGAATGTGAGTGCCTTTCTTTTAGTCCTGGATTATGAGATTAAAAATAAGATTCCCGGAGGAACTTATATTTTACAAGTAATTTAAGTGCCTTTCTTTTAATGCTGGCAAGAGCTTGATTCAGTGAAACAGCTGCTACTTGATTGCTAACTTTGCCAGATTCCATTGTTTGCAGTCAGTCTATGTTCTACACACCTGTTCTTCCTCTGGAAGATTCAAGCACCAACTCCTACCGAGAGAATGTGATCAACCTTTTGTTAGATGGAGATGTGACTCTCATAGCCAGTGACTTGTCAGCAGCAGCACAAGCAGCTTGTCATGTAGTTGCAGATATGACCCCATGCTAGCAGTGATTGTGATCCCACTTGACAGGTTGAGTTCTCCATCACAACTTGTTCTCCATGGTCTGAAGGCACTGCAGACACAAGCTGAGGTACATGCAGTTCCAGTGTTCTCAACAACCCAGTTAGATGTGATCTGTATTGACTCTGCTGGCCAAGCATCTCACTTCTCTTATTCCTGGAATACCAAGTGACAGCTTATCTCAGGTAAATATGGTGGGGTCATAGGGTTTGATCCGGGATTCACATCTTATCACATTTTTTTAGTTGGAATTTTCACATCTTATCAAATTTTGAGTAGGAATTTTCACATCATATCACATTTTTAGTTGGAATTTTTAAATATTATCACATTTTAGTAGGAATTTTCACATGTTATCACATTTTTAGTTGAAATTTTCACATGTTATCACATTTTTAGTAGGAATTTTCACAT